CTTCACTGCCCATCAACAAGCCTATGCGATCGCATCACCACTATGCGATCGCATAGCACATCTTCCCACAGCCTCAACTTACTTCTATGTGATCGCACAATACCCCCGCGATCGCATAGAGCAAACCAGCATGCCTCCCAAATCCTTCTATGCGATCGTAATATACCTATGCGATCGCATAGTGCTGCAACATCTGCTGCAAATTCCAGGAGTTAACAATTTCCAAAAGCGATCCGTTCAGCACCCGAAATCACCCCGAGGCCCCCGGGACCTCAACCAATAGTACAAACTCATCCTAGTACCTCATTCAAACTTGATCGGGTCATAAAAATGCTATCTTTAACATCAAAAATCCCTAAAAATCATCAAATTCAAATTCAAGTTAACTTAAAGTTAACAAAAACATATCTGTTGCAGAGATCAACCAAACGACGTCCGAATGACCTGAAAATTTGCAGACATATCCAAAATCACCTAACGGAGCTAATGCAACTGTCGGAATTTCATTCTGACCCCCGGATCAAATCCTCACCTATCGACCGGAATCATCCAAAATTCCAACTTCGGCAAACCTAGCTAACTTCCACACTGGACCTCCGAATTCACTTCCGTTTTCTCTCCTAAGTCATAAATCATCCCCCGGAACTAGCCGAGCGGTCGGAAATCCATTTCGAGCCCTCTAACCCGAAAGTCAACTTTGGGTCAACTCTTCCAACTTAAACCTTTCATAAAGAGACTAAGTGTCTCATTTCTATCTAAATTTCATCCGAACCACTTCAAACTCATCAAACACGAATACCAACACACGGGGGAGCATATTACGGGGTTACGGAACTGAAATGAATTAAATATCGGGTCGGGTCATTACACTTGTTGATTCGAGTTCGTTGTTCAAAGATTCAAGGTTTTTTTAAAGTGTTCGGACAGATTTGTTTCCATTCGAGTTCATCGTTATTTCGATCTGATTAGTTGGTTTAAGTTTTATTTCTATCCGTATTTGTTTGATATTCTCGGATCTAAAATCAGTATGTTCGTTGTTTATTGTTTCTTGATTATTTCTTCAGTTTGTTTTCAATTATTTGTTTCTGTTTAAGTTTTAATATAGAAATATTTTAGTTTAATCACTTAAATCCTTTATATTAATCAAAATATTGTTAGATTTATCTTGAAGTTTAATTGATTATTGAGTTTAGTGAATTAAATTGGTTTTATTATTCTGTTCAAGTCTAAATTTGGATCTGAGTTAGAGATTTGAATTTGTTTGTTTGCTCTGTTAAGTTTAATTTTAATTTGACTTTAGTGATTTGAATTTACTTGTTTGTTATTGCTGTTGAATGTGAATGTATGTTTGTTGTTAAAAATGTTGTTTAGTCAAAATAATTTCTAGTTGGTTCTTGGATGTTCATCGTATAGTTTGAATTGTTGATTGAATTTGATTAGAAAATTGGTTATAGTTGCTTTATTTTGGTTAATTGATTTAGGTGAATTTGGTTATAGGTGATGGGTAGAATAATAATTTTTAGTAATTTCATGATATTTTTGGAATTGAAAATATAAGTAATTGTTTAATATATAGGGGAATATAATTATATAAAGTTAAAATCATGTGGGAAGCATATTGATTAAAGTAAAAAGAGAGTATAGTGTGGACCCCAACTATTTTACCTCTTTTACTTTTTCACCCATTACCTACATTATTTCTAATTTACCTAATTACCTATACTATTTCTAATTTTCAATTAGCAAAAGAAGTCAAACGTGGACCCTACAGTCCACTCTCTTTTTAATTTAATGATTATGCTCCCCACATGGTTTTAACTTTACATAATTAAAATAGTATTTTTTAGTAATTTTCGGGGTATTTTTGGAATTGAAAATATAAGTAATTGTTTAAAATATAGTAGGGAACATAATTATATAAAATAAAAAGGGGAATTTAATTATTGAAAGTTAAAAGTATGTGAGAACATAATGATTAAAGTAAAAAGAGAGTGGACTGTGAGGTCCTCGTTTGATTGCTTTTGTTGATTGCAAATTAGAAATAGTATAGTTAATGATAAAAGGTTAAAAGATAATCATAGTGGAAAAATATTGGGGTGGAAAAGTAAAAGAGGTAAAATAGTTAGTAATAATAGTTTAAAAGTAAAGGATACATAGGCGCCTTACTGATTTTCTCAACTATTTTACCTCTTTTACTTTTTCACCCATTCTCTACACTATTTCTAATTTACCTCATTACCTATGCTATTTCTAATTTTCAATCATCAAAAGCTGTGAAATGTGGACCCCACAATCCACTCTCTTTTTACTTTAACCATTATGCTTTCACATGCTTTTAACTTTACATAATTAAAATAGTAATTTTTAGTAATTTCGGGAATATTTTTGAAATTGAAAATATAAGTAATTGTTTAAAATATAGTGGGGAACAAAATTATGTAAAATAAAGAATTGTTTAGTATATAGTGAGAAATATAATTATGTAATTTTAAAAGCATGTGAGGAGCATAATTATTAAAGTAACCGGACTGTGGACTCCACGTTTGACTGCTTTTGTTTATTGAAAATTAGAAATAGTATAGGTAATGATAAAAAGTTAAAAGACAATTATAGTGGAAGAATATTGGGGTGGAAAAGTAAAAGATGTAAAATAGTTAGTAATAATAGTTTAAAAGTTAAGGATACGTAGGCGCCTCACTCATTTTCTCAACTATTTTACCTCTTTTACTTTTTCACCCATTACTTGCACTATTTCTAATATACCTTATTACCTACACTATTTCTAATTTTCAATCAGCAAAAGCAGTGAAACGTGGATCCCACAGTCCACTCTCTTTTTACTTTTATCATTATGCCCCCACATGCTTTTAATATTCCATAATTATATTCCCCACTATATATTAAACAATTCTTTATTTTACATAATTATGATCCCCACAATATTTTAAGTAATTCTTTATATTTTCAATTCCAAAAATACCACGAAATTACTAAAAATTACTATTCTACCCCATCAACTATAACTAATTCACCTAAATCAATTAACCTAAATATAGCAATTACAACAAATTTCCTAATCAAATTCAATTAACAATTCAAACTATATGATGAACATCCAAGAACCAACTAGAAATTATTTTGACTAAACAACATTTTTAACCACAAATATACCTTCAGATTCAACAACAATAACAAACAAATAAATTCAAAACACTAAACTCAAATTAAAATTAAACTTAACAGATCAAACAAACAAATTCAAATCTCTAACTCAGATGCAAATTTAATAACAAACAAATTCATCTCTAACAGAATAATAAAACAAATTTAATCAACTAAACTCAATAATCAATTAAACTTCAAATTAAATCTAACAACCTTTTAATCAATATAAAGGATTCAATTGATTAAACTAAAATATTTCTATATTAAAACTTAAACAAAAACAAATAATTGAAAACAAACTGAAGAAATAATCAAGAAATGTTAAACAACGAACAAGTAAATAATCAAATATATACTGATTTTAGATCCGAGAATATCAAACAAAATACGGATAGAAATGAAACTTAAACCAACTAACCGGATCGAAACAACGACGAACTCGAATGTAAACAAATCTACCCGGAAACTTTAAAAAAAGCTCGAATCTTTGAACAACGAACTCGAATTAACAAGTAACTATAGATCTTGAACAAACTCAACATTGAATATGATATGTTATCGATTATTTACTTGTGTTCCTTATCCGGATTCGTGTTCTATCTTGTGTTCCACATGTGTGTCCCCACGCGAGGTGGACTCGGATTGTTATGGGCTAGATCCGAAAATTAGGTTTAAAAATGGATCGTTTGAACCCAAATGTTATTCTTTGCCCGGAACCGAGAAAAATACGATGTTATTTAATTAATCATTTAAGCAAAATAACTACAAAATAAGATTAACAATTAAAATAAAACTATTTTTTGGTTATTTTTCAAGATTTAAAATAACTACCAAACGTTAATAAAACTATTTTTTGGTAATTTTTGTTTTTATATAAAGATAAAATATAAAATACTATTTTTTTGTATTTTTAAGCTTATAAGTAATATATAAACTAAAATTTATATATCTTCTTTTTTTTTGTAATTTTTCATTTTGTGACGAAATAAAGTTAAAGAGTCAAAATTAGCTCAAATAGCTCTATTAAGGCTAAATTAAATATTGTACGCCCAAATATGAAAAATCTCGGGAGGATCAAAAATCACACGTCTACATGGGAGAAGCTACAAATTTTCTTCTAACAAAACGAATTTTAAGGATTTGCAGTACCTCTCTTCTACTTGTGCCATTAAATTTTCGCTTCTCTCAACTTCCTTTAAAATCCTTTTGGGAATTATTGTCCTTTAAATTGTCAGTGGTTGCGTTAGTTTTTGAGTAACATGGCTTAGTGTAATATTATTAATACATTAGTATTTGAGTAATATGACTAGTATAGTAGTAGTACTAGTCTTGTATTCTCTTACTCCGAGTTCCTTGTTGTTAGCGTGCTATTTGTTTCTGTTTTCTTATTTCCTTGCTAGTGATACTGTTTGTTTAGCGTCTTTTTCATTGTTCTTGAGCCGAAGGTCTATTAGAAACAACTTCTCTTCCTTCATAAGGTAAGGTAAGGTTTGCGTACACATTACCCTCCCCAGACCCCACTGTATGAGATTGCACAGGGTTTTTTGTTGTTGTTAAGAATATTTCAGCCGTCGACAGATATATTAAACTTAAATGTAGAGGCTGAGACGTTAGTAGTTTTAGATTAGGTGAATCTTCCAGTATAGGCGAAGACAATTTCTTCCAAGTTCTTTTATAGGAGGGCCTAGAGATTTGCATGGACGATATACAAATGCTACTGCATTATTGCAGCGAGTCTCTGTACTTATTTTGCTTATAACTATGACATGCAGCCCATCTTGGATGGAAATAAAAGAACAACTCTAATCAGATGGTGCAATAATCTGTATCTCGGCAATACCTGAACTTTCTTGGTTGTATCTCAGCCTCATATTCATATACAAAACCAGATTGGACTTCTTGTTTTATGAAGATACAGTTTTTTATATGAGCAGGGAACTTTGCATAAAAGGTGTATACTAAAGTAGAGGATCTAACAAAAAGACATGATTTTCTACAAAGAGCGTCCAATCATACATCAAAAATTTATATCAGAATGGACAGTGATGCGATAAATACTTGGCATCCTCTCCCTCTTGCTTGCACATGAAGCACAAACAGATGTGATTCACAAACCTCTCCCACCTTTGGCCTTCCACTTCAGTCTTGTAATCTTCTTACATAAAATCAAATGTAGTTCTGTCAAAGAATCAACCAGTGTTGCGGAGGTGTTTTTGTATAGTTATCCAAAGTGTCCTGCACTATTCTGGCAGAAGTTCCTGCACTATTTACTTCTATGCTATGTCTTGTATTTCCTGGCACCAATGAGTAAAAATAGTGGTAGTCCCAAAATTATTTGAGAGTGAACATTCCAAACATTAAAATACTGTTTTCTTTCTGGTGGCGTAAGGATTCTTCATTAGCTCTTAAAGCCTTTATGCAATAGTGGTAGCAATGTAGTAATAGTAACAGTAGATGTATATCAATGAGTTTATGATGTATCTTACTGACTTGGGCTTTGATCAATCGATATGTGTTTTAACAGTTTGATTAAAATTATTGACATTGAACAAGATGATATTTTATCAAATTGATGTGAAGATCATTTGTCACATCATTGGTTGGACAGAGGTATCAATTCCTTTATTGCTAGATATATACATATATTGCAGTCTCATTTATGCTTGCAATATGGAGACTCACAGCATGGCCTACAGCTCCCAGTCAAAATGTAACCTGTACCAAACGTGAAATAAACAATTGGCACACAAGGAAACTTACTTGTAGTATTGCCCTTACTAACAGAATTACACAGAAGAATTACAAAGAATAGCAATTGAAAGGACATAGAAGAACTGATAAGAAGAAAAGGTGAGAAACGGAGACCAGTATAGAAGGGGATGAGGAATTTGCTGGAAAGTAGGAAAGTTTTTTAGACTGTAACCAGTTTTTTATTACCTTTGCTTCGCAGAAGTAGATATCAGTATAACGGAGGAAAGTGTAGAGGATCTGTAAAAACACCAAAATTAGCAGCTGTAAAAACACATCATCATTAGCTCAATATTACTACCAAAATTCTCAAAAAGAAAATGGAAGCCAAGAAAGTTTACATTATGTATAAGAAATGGAGTGAAACAATCATCCTACCTGTGTAATGAATGACGCCCCACAATGCTTGACATTTGTTTTCTTGATTTCCCTTTACTGATCACTGAAATATGAAAATTTTATGTTGAGCAGAGTTTGGTTGTTTTCTGAATACCGAGTTCGATTTTCTTGAGGTGTGCTTAGTAGATACTACTAATATTTATGAAGATAAAATGATAACTCTGGTATTTTTTCTTTTGTGTGCGTATGTATCAATTTTAAGTCCATAAAGTATCATGTTAATGAGCTTAACGAGGAGACGTACACATACAAATGCACATTGATCGAAGATGTTGCCTTGTTTTTAACAACCTTGAGTAAACAAATAAGACGTGAAGTTTGAGCAGTCAGCTGAAATCAAAGCAGGAAAGGAGAAGGTCTTGGCTATAAACAAAGCCGTTGAAGACTATCTCCTATTAAAACCTGATGCCTGTGTTTAAGATTGTTTTGTTCTAAGAGGCTAATCTGCTCTTTGTCTTGTAGTTATCAAATTTTTTCATCTTGTATGTTTCGCCACAGTTTTCTGCTTTGTCAATTTTTATCTTGTCCGAGAAAGGTACTATTGCCAGCTGCTCATTTACTCGGAATAATAAGCAACTTTATGACTTGAAGAGGAGCCTTGGCGTAACTGGTAAAGTTGCTGCCATGCGACCAGGATGTCACGAGTTCGAGCTGTGGAAACATCATCTTGCAGAAAAGCAGGGAAAGGCTCCGTACAATAGACCCTTGTGATCAGGCCCATCCCGGGATCCCGGACCGCGCGCATAGCTGGAGCTTAGTGCACCGGCTGCCCTCTATGACTGGTGAATTTCAACAGGTGGATGATTTTCAATTATGCTAAAACTAAAAGAAGAATTTCTACAATGATTTTAAATTTGAAGTTTAATGTTGAGTTAAACAGCCAGGGAAGTGCTTATATATACAAGTGAATTGAGATTGGATTTACTCAGACAACCTAATTACTTGATTTTTCAAGTTTGTGAAAGTAACCAATTTCAGATCAAGGCACCATCCTATAGAAACAAGGAGCAATTAGAGAAAGCAAGAAACTTATTTATTCTTTTCTTAAAAAGAAGGAACAAGAAAAAACTGAAACAATACCATGATCCGTAGAGGAGCTCTTGCTTGACCTCGCTGCTGCCGGCTATGTTGCTTGCTGATCCAAACCTGTATCGAACATATTGTTCATACATTAGATGCACGTTGATATTCAAAAACAACACGTAGGAGTTTGTATCTACTTACGTCCATAATGAGGGTAAGACGGCTGCATCCTTCAATCTCTTCGATGTCTTCCTTAAGTTTCACAGCTGAAGGCTCCAGAGTTTGTGGCCTGCGCCCAATCAACTTAATCTGTTGCAATGTTTCAATATCTGCAAAGCTTGGGTGAATCTCCTCAAGCTTGTGACACATTTTTATAACAAGCGTTTCAAGCATAGGAAAAGATTCCTCTGGGTCATCCAACCTTGAGATACCTAACGACACCAGTTTCAACAACTTAAGATTATTGAACTTGATATCTTTGAGGCACCACTCTTCCGACTTAATTCCCCAATCCTCTAATTTAAGATACTCTAGATTTGGTAGTCCCGCAATTGAGGGAGCTGCGCTTACTATATGAGGCCCTTCAAGTTTCAACTTCTTTAGATTTGAAGGAAGGTGTAACTCAGTTATACTAAATCTCCAACCCTCAAAGGAAAGGTCAAGTAATTGCAGCCGAGTAAGACTATCTAGTTTGGGACTGAAAGTACAAATCTCTCTAGAATTAAGCCAAGAGATAGTGAGCCTAAGATTTTGAATGTTAGGACACCTCTGTAATAAGCCATCCATCCATTCACCATCATTAGCTGGATAACAAACATCCCTTAATATCCTCAAATTTTCCAATTTAGAGGATTCTTCAAAGATCCCCTGTTTAATGTTTTTCAAATAAAAATTAACTCCAGTAATCTCAACATGTCTTAGTTTTTCCATTTTCCAAAAAATCGGGGGTAAAACTACGCTCTTGGAAGAGAGAACAATTAAAGTTTCAAGATGGCGTAGATGTGATTCCGGATGGAAATCAAATTGATCTGTCCTAACTGCGAGGTACTTCAGATAAATCAGTGGATGCAGTATAATTGATGACAAGGGAACCACTTCATAAGAACTCAAATCCAACACCTTAAGAAATCCCAATTTACTAATCTGAGGGAAAGGATTCCATTGCAAATATTCTCCTCCATCATTTGTTATCAGTGACCTTAAATGTTGATGGAAAGGCTCCGCTGTGAGCAATGCACACGCAGAAAGTTCATCAGTAACAGTGATGCTCAATCGAGTTACCTTCCAATGAGAAGGTTGAAAGTTGTTATAATTCCCCTTCACTGCCAACATAAATTTTTCTTCTCTGCTTTTCTCCAAGCAAAAGTGAAGTACGACATCATGAACCTGGCAGTATTTGGCTTTACCGCTATAGCTTCTCTTCTCAACCATCACCACATTACTGCTAATGAGATCCATCAAGTAACCTTCAGCTGCTTCTTCCATTGATTTCTCATATTCAATGTTCTGCACGAAGCCTTCCGCGATCCATAAACTTATTAATTTAGACACTGGAATTCTCGCGTCCTCCTGAAACATCCCCATATAAAGAAGGCAAGGTTTTAAAGAATCGGATAAGTTGTCATAACTTAACTGCATAGTCGAAAGACTATATCCTTCTGACTCACCTAGATAGGAAAGTAGAGAATTTTTAACCTCATGCCACCAAGATTCTTCCATTTTCTTGCTTTTGATTATTCCAGCTACCAAGATAATCACCAAAGGCAATCCTTTGCATCTTTCTGCAACTGCTAAACTTACGTTGTGTAGTTCAGGTGTGCAACCTTCCTGTTGAAACACTTTTTTTTGCAACAACATTAGACTCTCATCGCGTGTGAGGAATGGGAGAGAATAAGGATCGGTATCGTGCTTGACCTGCTTACCTACTTCCTCTAGTCGGGTTGTTACTATTATTTTACTTCCTGTTTCACCATTTGGGAAAGATAATCTTAAATCTTCCCATGCTTTAATATCCCACATATCATCCAAGACAATCAGATATCTCGTGCCAATTAATCTTTTCCTCAAAATGTCAGCAAGTTCGCCAACCTCATCTACCTTGGCCTTGGAACCTGTAACTTGATTGAAAATCTCTTGTAATAACTCTTGTCGATTATATGTTTGGGAAATGATGCACCATGCTCGAACATTAAAATGGTAAGCAATGCTACCATTGTTATACAACTTTCTAGCAAAAGTTGTTTTACCTTGTCCAGCCATCCCAACAATTGGGATGACGTCTAGCTCCTTTTTTCCTTCATTTAGACGCTTAATTATTGTTTCAGCATCTTTCTCAAAACCAACTATCTCCTCATTATTCACAGGGTCACTCTGTCGATTTTGCATATGTTTAGATGGCTCAGCCACCAAGCAGGGCCTAATCTCCAAACTCTTGTCAGACATCTTCCTTAGATAAAGTAGAAAACTCCTGCAAGTTAACCAAACTCTTGTCATATTAACTTTCACTAAGAAGTACTTCCTTCGTTCCAGTTTATGTATATCTATTTTCTTTTAAATTCATTTAAAAAAGAATGATCTTTTTTCTAATTTTGCAAACAGTTTAACTTCGATTTCCCATTTTAGCCTTAATGAAAAACAATCAAAGCCACACAAATTAATGCAGGTCTAAAAGTTGGAACCACAAGTTTCAAAGGCCTTATAGCCACACAAATGTTATGGCATATTTCAGACCACGAGTTCTAAAGTCTTCCTTTTTTTTAATTAAATTTTGTACTCGGTTAAATAGGTTCACATAAATTGAAACGACGTGACTGATTTTTATTCATGTCTACCAATACTACTAAGAGACTATAAAGCTTCTGAAAGATTAGACACAATGCTATAAGTGACTCAAGTTTCAAATATTTGCTATAAGTGACTGTTTTAAAATTATTGGTAATGACACATATTTAAAAGCCTCAAAAAAAATATCAAATTGAAGTTCTCTGGCTTGTCTGATATATATCAAAAAAATAATTTTCAAGAGTAAGACATTTTATAGTAGTAATTGTTATCAAGGTAGGAAAAAAGCAAAAGGGATTCATGCAGTTGAAAAACTTAGAGATATCAAGTGAAACCAACTTAATTAGAGATTTGAGAAAGAAGTCTCACAATCAATCAGCCTGCTTTTATCTTCTTTCGCCTGTTTTTTGGTATCTTCAATATATGATCTAATCCTAAAAATGAGCGAAAAAGATAATAATTAAACTTTACAATTATAATTAAAAGCAAGTTCCACCAACAAAGAAAAGTTTAAATTATGGTGGTAAAAGAATGATTTAAAAAGGCGATAGAAATAATCAGGTCAACCAAATTATCAAGGACTTGTCTAATTAGCAAAGATTAACATCACCATATAACAATGAAAATTATGGAACAGCAAAAGTTACCTTAATGAACATGAGTAGAATTTGCCCCGAGGTGCTCTGAGAAGAAATCAAACGATAATTGGAGTTTTTAATGACACAAACAGACTGAGAGGAGCTCTGAATTATTTGTGTTATTGATTAATTAATGGCAGTTAAACAGCAATTATTGCTTAATTACTTAATGGAGTAGTGGTTAACTGGTTATTGTAACAGCCGCTTGATTTTCATTCTTATTGGTTGTTTTAGTGGAAGACGACATCAACATAATCCTTGGTCTATCCAAATTATACTATATACATATAGAGAAGAACCTACAAAATTGTTGGTATTATTAAATGGTGTTAATGCAAAGCCAAAGATTTCTTTGTGGTCCTTTATTTTTTTTTACTTTTTTATCTTTGTGAAATACAAAGTGTCCCTTGTTGGTGGTGGAAAGTCTTTTTCTTCTCATTATATTGAATTGCTCTTTGTTGTGATTGTAAAGAGCTAGTAAAAGGAAATGTTCTTGTGCACATTGCGTGCAATATACGTGAGGCCTATTCCAAATCTGGTATTGCTACCATGCTTTAATTTCTGTAACAGCTCCATTTTAATTTCTTTGAAACGTACGTTCCATTTATTTCTTTGAACTTGTCATGCTTTAATTTCTGTAACAGCTCCATTTTAATTTCTTTGAAACGTACGTTCCATTTATTTCTTTGAACTTGTCATGCTTTAATTTCTGTAACAGCTGTTAATTCTTGTAACAACTCCATTTTAATTTATGTAACAACTACAATTAATTCTTTCATATGTAACTATTCAACATCTTTGCCTATAAAAGACAATATTCTTTGTGAATAATCCAACACAAAAAATACCTTCATCTTCTCTTTTTTTTAGGCAACTGTTTTGTGCAAACTCTAAACTTCTGGCCACGAGTGCACGTGTTTGGAGGTGATGCGGAAGCTTGGGGAGCGACCGGTCTTAACGATTTGAGGTAGTGGCTTGCCACGACACAATATTTTTCGATATGTAATTCTTGTTTCAGTCTTCTTCCTTGTCAATTATCTTCTCATTTTTCCTACAATTAAATGGCTACCACTTTGAACAAAATACTTCCTGATCTGTCAAACCTTGAACCTTTCAAAAAATTATAAGCGTTGGTCCCAGAAATTTTTAATTTTCTTTGAACATTTAGAAGTTGATTACGTTTTGTTTAGTGAACCACCTAATGATGTTGTTGCAGATAGTTCTTTGCTACTACTATTGTTGCTGATAATGCTACTAAGAAGAAATTTGAAAAGAATAACAAAACTGTTCGAGGGCATTTGCTTAACCATATGACTAACCCTCTCTTTTGATTTGTTTATAACTTATAAATCTACTAAAGTCATATGGGTCAGCTTGGAGAAGAAATATGGTGCAGATGATGCGGGAAAAAAGACGTGATTGGAAAGAGGATCAAGTTTCAGATGATTTTTAATAAGCCAATCATGGAGCAGGTTCACGAGTATGAGAACTTGACTGCTGATGTTTTTAACGAAAGCATGGAGATGTGTGAGATTCTTCAGTCTACTGTTCCGCTTGAATAGTTTCCACCTTCCTGGAGTGATTACAAGAATCAACTGAAACACAAGAAGAAAAACTTAACTCTTCAAGAATTGATCATTCACATGAGGACTGAGGAAGCAAACCGTCTCAAAGATGAGGAGTCTGTACGGCTCAAGGGTAAGATGAAATCTTCCTCTCTCTTAATTTTTCTAAAGCTAACCAAGTGGAATGTCACGACCCAAAACCGATCCGGTCGTAATGACGCCTATCGTGAAACTAGACCAACCAACACAACTCCGAATCAACCATTATTCAATAAAAAAATTATTTTTATACCATTTATTAATCAATAATCTCATGATGTAAATTTAAAAGAATAGTGCGAAATACATACACAAGCCCGACATCGGAATGTGACTACTCATGAGCATCTAATAAAATCTGAATACAACGAAAAATCTGAAAAATATACTAAAAATAGTCTAATGAAAACAAGAGGGAGAAAAGTTGTACTGCGAACGCCATGTACCTACCTTGCTAAATTCCGATGACTCTGCCTCTGAGCGATCAACATCCTCTACCGGATTTAGAAATACCTGAATCTGGACACAGGTATATGACTACTCCAACTTAGTAAGTAATAAAAGTAAATGAAGACTGAGGAGTAACAAATCTCCTATTTTATTGTCTTACTTTCTATTGTAAATGTTGCTTCATTTCACTTGTCCGTTTTTAAGATATAAATTTTTGGAAGAAAGATAAATTATCAGTGTCTAATATAGTGCTTGGGTTATATGCTGGGATTAGTAATTCCTGGATTATTTAGCACCAAGTTCTTTGTTTGGTTCATTGAATTGAAAATGGGATAATACGGTGAATAAAGTTTTGTTTCCAAATTTAACCTTCGATAACAATAAATTATGATTCCACAAATTCACTTCAATGATAGCTGAAGAGGTAAATAATTATTTACGGATATAATGTGTCAAATGAGATTAGAAAAAAATTATTGAAATATATACCTGATAAAGACCAATTAAAGTTTGCAGTAGGAGAAAACTTGTAATTAATGATAAGTGAAAATTAATATTAGCATAAAGGGCCTTCTCACATTAGCATACTCTAACAAGATTAGTGAATGAATAATTGTGGTTCAATCAAACTAACATTTAATGTATATTAGACCGGATCTGAATGCTACAAAAAGTCAATGGAAGAATAATTTAATGAATAACAGGGACTTAATACATTATTAATGCAGAGAGACAGCTAATCTGCAGGTGATAATCCATTCCAATTGGCCTTCAAATTCAATGCTTGCATTAGTTAATGTGGAAGTAGTACTGTTATCAAGAGTTGCCTATTATTCTAATTAACAGTCAAATAAAATTACCATATATAAGAGAGGATGATGATAAATATGAAGGTGAAATATTACATACTAGAAGAATATTTCATCTAGTAGGGTTGTGGGTTCAAATATTAGAGTTGTAGGTTGCCAGGTAGTCGAGAGTCTCTTCTAGTCGTACCAGTATAGTAGTAGTACTAGTCTTGTATTCTCTTATTCCGTGTTCCTTGTTGTTAGACGATGTGGCATTATTGCCCGTAGTTTTCGCACTTCTCTTGTAGCTTTGTATTCCTAGTTCTTTTGCTATTTGTTTCTGTTTTCTTATTTCATTGCCAGTGTTACTGTTTGTTTATGGTGTTTTTTTCACTGTTCTCGAGCCGAAGGTCTATCGGAGACAGTCTATCTTCCTTCATAAGATAAAGGTAAGATCTACATACACATTACCCTCCTTAGACCTCACTGTGTGGGATTGCACTGGGTTTGTTTTTATTATTGTTGTTAAGAATATTTCAGCAGTTGACAAATATATTAAACATGAAATACAGAGGCTGAGACATTAATAGTTTTAGATTAGGTGAATCTTCCAGTATAGGGCTATAGGCAAGGACAATTTCTTCCAACTTCTTTTATCGGAGAACAAATGCTATTGCATTCAGGGGCTACCCAAGGGTCAAGCCACTAAAGCAAAGGTTTTTTGGGGGTCCCAAATTTTTCTTTTTGTTTTCTACACATAAGATCCCGACTAATCTAGATTCGTACCGCGTAAGGCCTAGTAAAAGAAAGAACACATTTTGACAGGATTTGTTTAACCACAAGACTCGAACCCAATATATCTTATTAAGGTAAGTTGGATCAATTTGCATTACTGTAGCGCGTCTCTGTACTTTTTATGTTTATGACTATGACATGTAAGCCCAGCTTGGATGGAAATAAAAGTACATCAACGGATGAGGCACATTTGAACTGAAAATTTAAGTGTATGCTTTTGTAACTTTGATAACTTTAGTCAGATGGTGCGACAAGCTACTCTATCACAGCTGAACTTTCTTGGTTGTCCTTACCTCTTCGATACACTCATATTTACATATGAAACCAATGGTTCTACCAGAAAGATACAGTCATGAATTGATTCCTTTATCAGCCCATGACCAAATCCTGATCTATCAAGGAAGGACTGTTAAGCACGTTGTGCGAAAAAGTGACAATCATTGACAATCACTATTTACTGTTGCGTAAGCCAAATGTATAGAGTGTGAATAAGTCACAACTACTATACCAAAAATTATGGC